AATCAAAAATTTTCATTTGCCTTAATAATAAATAAGTTTGTGTGAAGTATATTTTATCCTTAAGATATATTCTTGTTTTAAAAATCGCATATGATAAAAACAAACTTAGTTACATTTGAACTAAGAATTATTATATATACTTGAAAGTACCGCTTATATCCGATGCTCACTTGTCCTTGCAATATTTATAAGTAAATTTCAGCTTCAACCAAGAATATTTTGCACTTTGTTTTAAGGATAAATTATCCTTTATCCAAAATTATTTATATTTGGCGCTATTATAAGGATACTGTTTTTTCTGTGCGTAAATCGCCGACTCCGCAAAAGTCCTCGATTTCGATTTTTGAGTGTGTTATCGCAAGATCGAACCCTGCCTAACTTCGATCGCGAATCATTAATATTTGCACACAGATTGTTATTAGGTGTATGATAAAACTCGGACAATATCTAAATTATAAATTCTAGAGAATTTAAAATTTTGATTAATATGAAACAGAATGTGTTAGATATAATAGTTTTTCTCGGGGATTAACGAATCTATATAGAAGTTGGCTACGCTGTGCGCCTTCGTGCAGAGTTCTCAGCTTTTATTTTCAACGAGTCAGAATCGCGATGCGGTTTTCGTGGAGAAAATTACGAGTTAATTTCCCGTGCGATCGGCCCCTAACTAGCATCTCCTTGTCATTGTCAATTATTTTTAATTGTGCGCCGATCGAAGCTCCCGGGCTTTGCGCGATGTGCATTAAAATTTGCGCCTGGGTTAAAATTGAAACTCACGAGATCTCGCGCGGTCGCGTACACCGTATTTCCATCGACTTGATAATACGATTTTCAACAAATCATTTTTATTCTTCCCCCTTTTCTCTCTTTTGAGCCCTTCCCTTGCTGTTCATTGCTCGTAACCCTTCCGTCCAATTCGCTGCAAGCGTGATTTCGCGCGGGGGTCGCCGATGATGAACGAGTTCGAAATCATTGCGATGCAAAAAGTGGGGATAGATGGGAAGAGGGAACGATTGGAAAAGGAAGAGGCGAGACCGGCAGGTGCGTGGCTGTTCAATATTCATCGACAAGAGGCGTCGAAATGATTTTAAGTGCCTGCAGAAATTGCCGCGGCATGGGCGTTTTCTGATAATCTGCATTATTTCGATCGCTTTGATCGCCGCTGCTTTAATAATATGTAGATTTATGTTTTCATCCGGACGGCCGCGGCGCGTCACTTCTTCCGTTCAGTCCGACAGTATGTGAAAATTATTATTGAATTATTTATTATATTCTAAGTATCGATTCCGTACACCGTCTTCGTTTATTAAAGTTTTTTTTTTTTCAGAAATGACATTAAATGTAAAATAAGTTTTAACGCTGTGAGATTATACTCGTGAAAATGCAATTAAAGATTAGATATTTATTAGATGATATACTTAATCATGGAATTGAATGTTTTCCAAAAAATTACTTTGCTTAATAAAACTGAATATTTGTTAATACGTTTTCAAATTTCAATATTTCATATGCTGCAGAATAAATATCCAAAATGTTTTATTGGATATCTTGACGCAATTAAATATATAAAGCAATGTTAAAAGTGAATAAGTCAAGTTATATCTCTTTAACAATTCATTGTATCACTTAATTAATTTTGCCGTGCAATAGAAAAGCAGGAAAGTCTTTGAAGATTTATGAGTTTGCCAGCTGCGAGAGTTACTACTGGGAATAAAAAAATAGCTAATTGTAGCGCTATAAATCTTTGCGCTGAATTGGAATAAATCAAATAAATTCTGCGAATCAAATACACTATAATAAAATACCATGGGATCAATATTAAATCACGGAAATATTTTCAAAAGTGTTTCAAACTTCTGGAATTGAAATTTAACAGATTTCTTGTCCGATAATACTACAAAAATGCAATGTTATTTGAAGTTATAAAAATAGTGTCATAAATGTATAAATTTAAAGATATATTATAAGTTACATAAGAATGCGGTATAATAATTAAATTACAAAAATTATATTACACATCTTAAAAATCATATTTTCAATAGATATTTTTTCTAGAAAAAAAATTCGTTTTGTTTTTCATCGGTTTTGTTTTGCTGTGCAATTTGAACGCCCAATATGTAACGTCAATCAAAAAGCATTTTTTCTAGAGATTGGCTCTAGAACATCGCGATGGTTCGGTTCAATAAAGCGCAGCTGAAGAAGGTATACCGCGAAATGCGTCGAGAATTCCCTCCAAAGATGTTCGATTACCGATCTGAAAAATCCGCGGCACAGAATAGTACTAAAGAAAAAAAAAGGTACGGTCTTGCCGGGAGATTACTACTCGTTCGACTGTATCCAAGCGCGTATACATGTTCTTCTCTGCTCCTAAGCCTCTCTTCTCTCTCTACACTTCTCTTTTTAATAAATGATCTTTCTCTCTCTCTCTCTCGTCGCGCCGACCGACCTCGCAGATGGGAATCGCGTTGTCATCGAGCTTATCGCGATTATCGCAGCGTGCGGTGCATCGGGAGTAACACATATGCACATCGTGTGCAGCATCGTAGAGCATAGAAGAGAAAAGGAAACCTGATAAAAGGAGAATCGCGCATCGCCGATTCTATTCGCGCGACGAACGCGCGGCTACAAGGTTTAAAGGCAGATAGCATCGCCGGATTAATTATGCGTAATGCATGGGACGTGCGCGAGGATGCATTTGTTCGTTGCACGAACGGGGAGGAGGGGCCGAAGGGAATAGAAGGAAAGGAATAAGCAACGCATTCAATTATCGTCGTTACTCCGGGGTCTTTACAGATGTTTCGGTGATAATCGCATTGCTGCGCGACTTCCACGTTCGTCGTAAGGTTTGAATGCCGGCGGCATCCAGAGAGAGAGAGAGAGGGAAAAGCAAGACGAGGCAAGAGAGGAAAATGGGCGGAGGAGAGAGAGAGCACTTAATTAGATTCGTCGGAAAAATTAACGCGGCCCACTCGAAACGAATTGGCAACGCTCCAGATGCTCGCGTCGCGCCGCTGCTCTTCCGCGGCCGCGGATAAGCGCCGCTGCAATTCGGCCGATGCGATGCAATCTACGGAGTGGTCCGCCGTGATACACGCCGCGGCGGTCACGGCTCGATAAACTTCCTCTCGGTCGTAATCGAGATGGTTGCTGGCGAGATGTGCTTAGCCCTACGAACTTTATTCCGGGAGACCTGAACATTTTCCACGAGTTTTTATTGAAGTTGGGATTTGTATATCGGAACTTTAAAATATATTGAGGAATTGCCAAGTCTCTCCTTTCGCGTACTATACGGTTCTACGATAAAAATTTTCTTGTAAAAAAAATCTGCGAAGTGCTACTTCAGGAAATATTGAAAGGAGAAAAGAGGACAGTTATATAATTATAATTATCGACATTATAATATTAATGGGTACAATATTAATAATTTAATTATTAGTTTTTTTCGAATGTTTTTTCTACATAATTTTATCGAATACATTTTTCAGGAAATAATATCTATATACATTTTTTTCTTCCTTTCAAAGACTTAAATATTAATGGCCAATTGCATCTTGCAAATGCAATATACATGTACCTATGTGCGAAATATCAAAGTTTTTGAAATATATTGTGCGGAAAAAGTTTCAAACTTTTGAAGAATATTTTCTTCTCGCGCTGCTGCGAACATGATTCGTCCTCTTAATCTTGTTCAATCGTGGTCGTTGCGGAATTTCTCTCAATCATCGAGATACAGATACGTGAAATACCTACTTTGAAATTCGAAGTGACATTTATATAGATTAAATTCTTCGATCCCGCGAAAGTGTTACGCCGCGACACATCTTACGTGGTGATCGATAAGTTAACATTTCAACGTCCGACTTTGCATATACACTTTGGCAATGACTTGACATACGATGCTCGTTCTTTTTTGTCGCACAAATTGCACATGGCATTTTATTCTTATTTTTTTGGGGGGGAGCGACAAACTAATAGGTCGATGGCGCGCAAGCGCGACGCTGCGGGAAAAATCGAGCGAGCATCGTTGGTAAATACTATAAATCAGCTTAATCCGCCCGTCGAGCGAAACGAAGGGTTGGGGATGTGTGCACATTCGCGTGAATGTGGGTTAACGAAGGCGAAAAAGAAAAACAATTTTGGCGTCAGCGTTTCGGAATTTGCAGACCGCGCGAACACAATGCGATGCCATCGAATAAAAACAGCACGCGTTGCAACGGGGGCCGAAACAAGACAAATTATAGGGTGGTGATTCTAAAATCAAGACGTGCATCATGTTTAAAAAATAATATAAAGTATGGCGCACACACAACCGCGCGCCAAACAAATAATTAATTTAAAGAAAGAAAGAATTATTAATCTCGATGAAAAGACAAAAGTAATTATCAATCAAAATTAATATTGGACGCTAGTGGTGATAATAAACTTGGCAAAATTGATTTCGATGTGGTCGTGGTTCTCATCAAGTGAGAATTCTATAACACAATATTACACAATAGTTTTTAACAATGTTGAAACATACAAGAACAATATTTAAATATGTTCTTGTATTGAATAAAATTGCTAGTTACGTCGAAATCAATTTCGCCAAAAAAAGTAATTATTATACGCGTATATGTATACTTTGCGCACACCCCACACTTTATCTATATTTTAATCTATCTCTTTTATCTATTTCTGACATGCACCGCGTGCATCCCGAGTTGAATTCGTTCTCACTCGCCGCGAGCATCGCGATTTCCATGTAATCGCGACTATAAGTCGGCGCGCGAGAAAAAGAACGATACCTCCCGGCAAAGTATAAGATTTAAGTAAACGCAATAATATAACACCGCTTGCGCTCCGCTCTGGTGTCCGATCCCGGTATATTGAACGCGCACGCATCCGTTCTTGGAAATCGCGATGCACTCGCGCAGCTCGCGCGACATGCAAGCGCACATATCGGGAGCAGCAACGATGCACGCCAATGCCCAACACGTAATCGTTCCTTTTTCTGCTTTCAGGCGTAGTCGGAGCTCGGAACCTCACGATGGAGTGCCGCAAGGGTCGACGGAAAGGAACGCCGATCCACGTCGGGCTGCTGCTTGCGTGGCTCTTGACCAACGGCTGCGCCGTCGTCGCGCGAAATATAGGTGAGTGAGAGAAAGTATTTACGATTTTGGACCGTGGTTTCTTGCCACGGGTAAACTTCCCCAGACGCGCGCAGAACCTCGCGCCAATTAAGGGCCGGCTACAACGCGCGCGGATATTTACGCCTGACGTATCCGGTACGAGTTCTCTCGCAAGGCGCGACAAGCAGAAGCCAGTTTTGCATCTCGGCGCCTTTCGCGTGTTCTCTTTAACCTCGCAGCGAGCACATTTCAAATTGTCACATCGCTGCTGCAATTGTTGCCCTGAAATTATACCTCAGGCTATATAGCTTTGTTTCGGACAATTAATGGCAGACGGTTCTTTAGTTTATGGTAAACGTCAGCATACGTATAATATGAGGCGTTAATAATATATATATATAGTAAAAAAGAATCGAGTGAGGCATTAATTAAAAAGAGGATGTAGATGGAGATTTTAATTCTTTGAATTAAACAAAATTTACAATTTAAAAATGCAACTTTATAAGTCATGTTTCTCGGAGACACAATTATAAGAGCATGTTTATTTATAAATTTTAAACGAGGGACAAAAATCTCTTTGAAGAGATTAATAACGATGGCGGAAACACCCGCGACGTGTATACGCAGGGGGCGGAAGATCGTTGTTGCCGTAAACCCCAGAAAACCCCGCTAGATGGATGGGATGGTTTCGGCCGGCATGTTAAGTCCAGGAACATACCGTAGCACGCTCGTAGAATTAAACCGTTCTCGTGCTAATTGATTTAGGAGATCCCGTCAATGTGTGTGTGTGTGTATATATGTATATTGCAAACACGGCACAGTCACTTGATAAGTCCTCAGTAACAAGCTACGAATTTGACACTTTTTATAAATACATTTTTAATATCTTTTTAACATAAATTATGAAGAAATATTGCATTCTATGTTACCGTTTGAAAAACGGTTCTGCTATCTTTCATACGTACAATGAAATATATTAATTATCCACCTACAATAAGTAATACGAAATATTTTAGAATGCAGGTTTTATCATATACATTTTTTTTTCTCTTACAACATTCCTGAACCGCTCGATTTACATGCTTACATGCTAGACATACATTTCCATAGCTTCACAATTACGTCCATATTTTTTGTCACGTTGTTGCCGCTTACACGTGGGACGCACGCGCGGGGTGAAAGTTCCCGCAATGCCTTTTTCGAAGCTTGAAAAGAATTCCGCTCAGGTGCTGACGGCGGCGCCTACAAATTTCTCTCGGGACCATTTCCGCGCTCGCATATTAGCTTGACTGCGCGCCCAGCTGCAATCTCCGACGTGTAATTGATCGCGGAAGTTGAAGAAAAACCCGCATTGCCAAGCTACACCAGCCGGTGCAATCCGACGCATTATTTTATGTTCATAAATCCAGCGCTTTTTGACGGGAACGAAAACAAAAAAAAATATTTTGAGCACTCTGACAACATCCATGGTTACGAAACAATCGCGGATTTCAAAAACAGGGGGATATCATTCTTTTGATGAATATTTTATTGAAAAAGGATTCGAATGTTTTTCATTATATTTAAACAAACAACTTGATAATTTTGTTCAGATTTTTGCGTACGCAAATTTACTAGTTTAAATTACTAATTCATCAAAGATCCTTACTGTAATTTTAATCAAGACAGGCATAATATATCACAATGAATTGCGAAAGCGAAGGAAGACAAGGAAGCGAGAAACGATGGGAAAGGGAGAAAGGAAGGAAGGGCTGGTCTAGCGCCCGATAGGGTTAAAATGCAGCGACGCATTGAACACACGCGAGCATTAACGAGCGGTTGAGTCTCGAGAAGCGATTTCAGGCCGACGTATTCAGGAAGGGTCGAGGCTAAGACACATAGAAGTTAGGAGGAGGAACAAACGAAAACCCCTGAAGGATTGGAGAGAGAGACGCGTGTCCTCCCGCTATTCCTTTATGATTATCATACACCCGGGTGCCCTCAATCCACGCAGCATTGTAGAGTTGCGTTTCCACTGTTCTGCTTCCAATCCCTTCTAGCTATGCGCACTCCCTTTCCGGTGATAGGTATATATATGCGCATTACGCATATATTCGCGCGCATATACATATACACACGTGCGCGGAAGAACACCGCAGTAACCTAACGATAGATAAATCAAAATCGCATTGTATGCTCGGTGCCGGCGAGGCTCAGACAGGGCTTTGTGTACTCTCAAAGGTGGATAGAGATTTAGGACGTCGTGTGGATTCGATACCGCTCGTGACTGTGTTTCCGCATGGAATCGCAGACCCGCGATATACGAGTTAACTTGCAGAGAATTAGCTTATTTACGTCGAATTAGATTTTCGCCTTTGAATCAATTAACTGTGACTCGCAGTAATACTTATTTATTATAACGTTGATTCTTAATTGTTAATGAAAAAAATATTAATACATATGTATGTAGGTATACATGATTTTAGAGAATATTTTAATCAATACGCGCGCATGTATTGATTATATTTATGATTAACATAAGTGAACATTAATTAGCGTAGAATCTAAAGACTAGATGACAAATTGATAAAATTATATACTTGGGGTAATATCATTGAGAGAAATTATATTAATTTTATCACAAGAGAATATTGTATGAAAATCTCTCATATATGTAAATGAGATATGATAAATAAGTTGTATAATATTATTTTTTTTTATGATAAAATTGAAACGTTTAAGAAAAATCATTTTTAAAGACCTGTTTCTAAAAATTGGAATATTTATTCGAAATTAAGCAGTTTATTAATATTCCTGCGCCTTTGCCACATTCGAATTTTTTTCTTCTACATTTTTTAACCAAATGTACGCACGTTGTTACTTGAGTTATTCAGCAATTAGTTTTTTAGCATCGCTCCGCCTGTCATAAAACCGAAAATGATTTTTCTTAGCGAGCGTATAAATATACCGGGGCGCTTCGAAAAATTACATAAAACCTTGATAGCCACCACTTTGTAATCTACCCTGATGATCATCGTAAAACGTTAGTTAACGGCAGGGAGGATGATCTCAATCGGGCTGACCTCGCGAATAATGCGCGATAAAATTTGCAATGGCGGCTATCGGCATCGGAGCGGCGCCGAAAGACGTCGTTCGCTCGTGGCTACTCCTTCGCGATTACTCGCGCCGCTAACATTTTTACGAAGGGCAGAATTTCCGGCTTTTACCGGGTCGGGAATAAAAGCAACACGATCCCGTCGTGGTTTACGGCCGAACACTCGTCGTTAGGTCTCGATTGGATTATCACGTGAAATCGTCAATCAAATTTTAATCGCTCGTAGATATACATATATATATATATATATATATGTATATCGCACGGTACGTTAATTTTATTTATAGTGTCCGACATATATATATAAGGCAACAGAAAAATGAATGATTCACTCTGCAAGAACGTAATGTTTCCTCGTTTGTAATCAAGATCGAGATCGAGCATTCGAAATTATCTGTCTAATGCAGTTTTTATAGAATTATTAATAATTGATAGCCGTTGATTTCCATACAGTCACGAATATATCGTCAACGTACAATTCAACAATTCTCCACAAAATTATTCACGACTTGGCAATAATTTACTATTGGCCATAATTTCGTAAGCGCAGTTGTCAGTCCGCGTTATATTATATATACCGATATTGTGGACCACCTGAGACACGTATTGTGAAGATCTCATCTCTTGTCTTCTTCTCTGCCGTTAATTCTCCCCGACGACGAGAATTTATACAAGCGCGGTAAAGGGGACGGACACTGCCGGACAATTTACGGCCACCACTTACGTCGCCGTGCCGCATTCTGAGCAATTAGTATTTACGCCGGATAGATCGGTAATCCTATTATACACTCGGCACAATATCAAGATAATAAGCATCGTGGACAGCGCGTGATTACAGACTGCGCCGCGTCCCCGAGGCGGACCGAGTTTCTCTTCGCGAGATAAGATTCCTCGAGGAAAAATTCTCACGCTTCTCCAGTAACCTTGATGCGTACAGCTACACGTCCGATGATATGTTAAAAAGTGGGAAAAATGTAGGAGGTGTTATATACGGCGCTCGAGATTAACATTCAGTTTTAGATGTTTATTTGATTACGCAAATAAGCACCTTTAACTCGAGCATTGTATTAATAGATATTTAACTTGATATAGAATGTGTAAGACGAGAATATTATCACATTTTTATTATTGATAAATAGTATAATGTAGAATTGTAGAAAATGTGAAATATTTTGCGTTGCTTTTCTTCTTACTTTTTGTTTTTTCAATTATATTTTTGACATCAATTGTTTGATAAGTTGTGACTACGCGCGCAATTATTTAAATATAACTATATTAAAATTTCATAATAATGCATATTCTTATATAAAATTTAAAATCTCATTTTTATAGAATTTTTAACTGGAAAACCATAGTAAATATGTATTTTTAATTTAAATAAACTTAACAAGCTGCGCAAAATTAATATTGCAATTAAATACTAATACCATATTAATGATTTAAAATGCACAGACGAGAAGCATAAAATGCATATTCCGTTATTAAAACAAATTTATTATTACAGTTTATTATATACATATATGTATGTATAAAATAGCATTATTGAATACACATACCATATACATATGTATTAATGACATATTGATGAAATCAAAATCGAAGAGAACGCAAACTAAAAGTAATCAAATAAATCATAGATACATTTTAATGAGATAAACATTCTCAAACTACAACAATAATACATATTGTATAACAATTTCAAAGAATAGAGAATATACAGTGTTATGTATATTCACGTAGAGGACATTTGTTCCAAACTACCAAGCTACAACGCCCGTGCTAATTCCGGCGTATTGAAATATGAATGAAATATCGAGCGTGACGTTATTTTTGCCGTTTCGCGACATGCGACTTCGATTCCGGTCGCTTCGCGAAGAATTGTATAATGGTGAAATTCGCGCGAGACATCGGTCGCTGCTCGTTGTAA